TCAGTGAAAAAGAGACAACGAACGGTGCTCATCCATCATCCACGCAAAGTCTTTTTTGATTGGTTCGTCAGGCATCCTGATCAACTCCCATTTAGGACGAGGTTCTTCTTCATGTCCAATCCTTTGCAGATCGGAATTGTGCGGTGGAAAGAGAATAAACTCTCATCCCCGTGATGATAATTGAAGCAACTATGTTACGTATATGGGTGGACTATATATAAACTATAAATATATCTGTTTGTAGCTTTAAGGAAACATACGGTAATGTATTATGCTGTGTTCGGATTGGTTAATTATGCTACAAGTTGGCACAAGAGGGAGCTACAGATCATGGTTTAATTCTCTTTCTTTTTCTCTTCTTCACTGATGATCTTTCTTGATACCGATACTGACTTTTCTCTTTTTCACCGATGATCTCTCTTGATACCGATACTGACTGACTACGGACCGATACTGACTCACTAACTCTGTTTATTTGGATATTCTGTTGTTATCGAACTTTATCTGTTGTATTATGGTTTGATAGTTGTCTGCTGTAGAAGACTTGAAACTGGTTAAGAAGACAAGTGGCCACAAGATGGAGCTACAGATCATGGTTTAATTCTCTTTCTTTTTCTCTTTTTCACTGATGATCTCTCTTGAGACCGATACTGACTGACTACGGACCGATACTGACTAACTCTCTTTATTTTGATATTCTGTTGATACCGAAGTTGATCTGTTGTATTATGGTTTGATGGTTGTCTACTGTAGAAGACTTGAAACCGGTTAAGAAGACTTGAAACCGGTTAAGACGACTTTATAACGGGATATTTCTAGACCGTTAAAAACGTGCATGACGTGGACGGTTTATTGGACTGCGCTATTTCTTCAAGCAAACATGAAGACAACTCGGTCAACTCTGTGACCGTGTATTTATTTCTTCCTAACTCTTCTCATAAACCGTTTTCCGTGAGCATATATCCTTTTTACTCAAAGGTTACTCTGCACGTATCCTAACAAACTACATGGATAAAGGATTCAGGGTATGATGAGCAGGTGCGTAGTAACAGCTTCAGGCAACAGCGAGGGAGCCTTCCCTGACCACCAAGGGTCAATTCAGTGACCAATCAGGATGACAGATGTGACCACATGACAGGGACGACACTTCCCTGGATAACTACATTTCCCATGATGCACTCCCTTAAAGGGACAGCTCTCAACTCCTAACTAACTACCCCAAATCCCATGAACTCTTAACCTGTCTGGACATCACAGTGCTGCTCAGAAAGTATATAGTTACTCGGGAATTGGGAGCTGTCCCCTTAAGGGAAATGCAGTTAGTGCCTCATGGGAGATGTAGTCCGTGTCATGTGGTCGCATCTGTCATCCTGATTGGTCGCTGAATTGACCTCTACTTGGGTTGTAGGAGGTGGGAGGAAGACTTTGTCCAATCCTGCCTGGAGCCAGCATCGTGCAGGATCGTTACGGGGCGTATTTTCACACTACGACGACGCCCTACGCAAAGATCGGACATTAGATGAATCTCAACGTAACCGTTACACCTCGAGGATGCCTACTAACAATCCGATCGAGAAACTTTGTCGCGTCGAACGGACTGTCTCGATATTCCGCCAGAAAATTGAGACAGCAGCGCCGGGACGATCAGGTCTTGCGGCGTAGACGCCAAGGGGGTCTCTCCCATTTCTTTACGGCCGGGGTTGTGTGTGCGAATCCAGTTATTATGCGCCCCCCTCCCCGCCCCGCGAATTTGCTCACCTGAGTCGAGAACGGGATGACCTGTTCCATCTTCACCACGCGGTCCCTCAGCGCCCGGATCTCCTCGTCCTTCACGTTGTTCTGGATCTTCACTTCCTGCAAGATGTCCGTCAGCTTGTCGATGTGCGCCCGGAGGTCGACCACTTCCACCCCCGGCGGGCTGGCTCGGCTGAGCGCCGGGCTGACTCCCGGCGCGGGGCTCTCCGCCTCGCCCACGCCCACCGTATCCCAGACGTCCCTGGCGACGGCGCGCCAGCTCTCCCGCTCGCTGGGATCCCGCCGTCCGCAGAGCCGGCAGAGTTCTTTCATCTTGACGATGCTCAGGGCCTCGATCTCCTGGCGGGAGTGCCGGAAGTCGTTGAGGGCCACCTCGTAGCAGATCTCCTTGACCGCCTGCATCTTCAGGTCCGCCAGGGTCAGCCAACGGGGATCCTTGGCGGCCCGGCGCCGCTGAGGGATCTGGTAGACCCGTAGCGGCTCCCTCTTCTTGCCCGAGCTGGGTAGGCCGCAACGGCGCACAATCGTTTGCACTTTAGTGGCCGGCAGCTTCTCCCGCAACGAGGAAATAAGGCGCCAGCTCTCCTCGCACGAGCGCTTGTCCGAATCGTCGCCACTGTCCGAATCCGCGTACTGGGGGGGGGAGGAAGACAGGTTTCAAGGACAAAATGGCAGAAGCAGACACGAAGCCCAAACACGCCTTCACTTAAGGACCACGACGGAGCACCAACTTCCTCCACTTCAACATTTCTCTTAACTGCGGCGGCTGCTAAGTAGGTTTGGTTCCCCCTTTACGGGATTTCTGGGCCCCCGTTCTTAAGCGAATCACTGCGAATCAACGAGCAACCTGGCTGTAGCACGGCTTTGGCCGTGTTCCCCTCCCCGCAGGACCGTCGTAACTAGGAGACAAGTTGACCAAGCTTGTCTGAATTCTGGTTACACCCGGGGCATGCTGACACGGTTGCGTGGAAAATGGTCAATAAAGTCCCCTTTTTTGGGGGGGGGGGGGAGCGCTGTCGCTAACTTGGAACGGCTGCTAAATGAAACACTCCAGCACCACCTGTAATGCGTAGTACAGATAGTCCTCAACTTATGACCCCAACCGATGCTGTCCTTAAGTGAGTCGTGGCTGATGTGATGCCCTTTGGGGTCGTTCCCGCAAGCCGGTCTAGCTTCACCCCACCCCGTACCGCTGCGTGGAGGAAGCCAACGTCCGCCGGCGGGTCTCGCGAACGTTCACCTACCAGCCTCTGCTGTTCCAGGATCAAGTCCGCTTCCTCTTTCTCGCGACGGTACTGCGTCTCCAGGTCCTGCAACCTGACCGGAAAGCCGGACGTTGAAACGAGGACACGGAGCGGGTTCTGCCACCCACCGGGACAGGGGACACGACGGGAAATAGGGAGGAATGGCTGCTTAAAAACCGCGAAGCTCGGAAGCCATTGGCGCCAGCAGCCAAGGAAGAGACTTCCGGTTTGAAGGGCTCCGGCGACGAGACCGGAATCCGCGATCGTGCACGGTTTCTGCCCGGGCTCGAGGCCGGAACGTCCCGAGCCGGCTGGTTTCGGGGCTAAGGGACCCCGTAGAGTTGGCGAAGAGGAAGGGGGGGGAGACCGCCAGCCGGGTCGAGGAGAGCCGCCTCTCTCCTCCTCAGCTGTCCAAAATCCCCTTTCCCGAAAGCGGTAGGAGCGGTGGTCCGAAATGGCGCTCTTGAGGAAGAACGGGGAATACCCGCAAACACCTCGGCGTTCTCAAATCACCGAGGCGGATTTTCATTGGCTGAAGAATGGACAGGTCGGTGGGGAGAGGGAAAGGGGAAGCATTTTTTTGTATCTTAGTTCACGCGGGAAACTCAGTTCTCGTCGGACATTTTTTTTAACGGCAACCGCCATCTTGTCGTCCGAGAACCTATCGCTTCCCTTCCGCGGAGTCGAGGGTCTTTCTTCCCTAAGGGATCAGGCTGGGGAAGGACTGACACTGACAATCCAACGGACCCCCATCCTCCCGGGGATTGTATCTTATTTCACGCGGGAAACTCAGTTCTCGTCGGACATTTTCTCGTCGGCAAAGAAAACGGCTCCCGTTTCGGTTGAGGAATATCAAGCAGAGACTCCAACGCCGATCCCTTCCGGGAGGGAGGCGAGAAAGCCCGGCGCGGAGACCGGGCGAGATGGCGCACCTGTTGCCCCTTTCCCGCCCGCCCCGCCCCTTCCCGCCAGGCTGCCCACCTCTTCTCCATCTCCAATTTGATGTCGATCCCCTGTTTTTCCAGCAACTCCCTCTGGGCGAAGTTCCAGTCCACGGGCTCCGGCTGGCCGTCAGGAGCCAGGCTGCGCTCGCGCTCCATCCGGGCTTGCTCGGGGTGGTTGAAGCGGAAGACGTGGTTCTTACCCATCACCACGCGGTTGCCTGATCGGGGAACAAGGGCCGGGGAGGATGGAGACGTCAGTGCGACCGCCATCTTTTCGTCCGAGAACCTATCGCTTCCCTTCCGCGGAGTCGAGGGTCTTTCTTCCATCCTCCCAGGGAAGAAAACCGCTCCCATTTCGGTTGAGGAATCTCTAGCCGAACCCGATACCGAGCAGATCCCCGGGACCGTGGAGGGAAGCAGGCGGGCAGCTGCTTAGGGTCCCTAGGACAGGGACCCCCCCCTCACCAAGACTGCCCTGGCGGCGAAGCCAACGGACACCTCCAGAGAAGCCCCTCCCCCTTTTCCCGACGGAAAGGACCCCCCTAGTTAATGGGAATTGGGATAGTTTGTAAGGAATTGGGAGCTGTCCCCTTAAGGGAATGCACCATGGGAAATGTAGTTAAGGTATCCTGAGAAATGTAGCTGCCGTCGTGCGGTCACATCTGTCGTCCTGATTGGTCACTGAATTGACCCTCGTTGGGTCGGGGGTGGTTTTCTTCGCTCAGCTTCGCGCTAGCATCTCTACCCTCTGCCTCTACGACCATGGCATAAAATAGGGGCTAGAAAGATTACTATCAGTTTACGCGACGGTTTCAACTGGTCAAAGAATTGGACATTCGATGCACCTCGACATAACGGCGAGTTACCTCTACCCTCTGCCTCTACGACTATGGGATGAAATACGGGATAGAAAGATAATACTATCCTTTGACACGACGGTTTCAACTGGTCAAAGAATTGGACATTCGAGGCACCTCGACATAACGGCGAGTTACCTCTACCCTCTGCCTCTACAACTATGGGATGAAATAGGGGCTACAAAGATTACTATCAGTTTACGCGACGATTTCAACTGGGCAAAGAATTGGACGTTTGATGCACCTCAACATAACGGCGAGTTACCTTGAGGATGCCTAATATAATCCTATAAAAGAAACTTTGTACGGGAGCTCTTCTACCTGTCTTTACCTGCAGCCGCCTTCGCTTCAGGCCGTTCCCCCCCCCCCCCCCCCCCCCCCCCCCAAGGGGGGCCCCCCCCCCCCCCCCCCCGCGGGGGGCCCCCCCCCCCCCCCCCTCCCTGATCGCAGCACCTGAGGCGCCATCACCTGCTTTCCGTTGATGTACGTCTCAGCGCCCGGGCACGGCTCCAAGGTGACGACGACTGCGGAGGAGAAAGACAGGTGAGGAGGCCGAGGGCCCGGGGTCCTTGGGAGTCAGCCCACCCACCTCGTGGGGCTGAGGAAGAGCTGCCCCCCTCTGAGTAGCCCCGGCCGAAGGTCCACTTCGGACGGAGAAGGCGGTAGCTGGACCTTAGGGTGAGCAGGATGCGTAACGGGGGATACCTCCCTGCCCCGCCCGGTCGAGTACGACCCCTGAAGACGACAATACCTGCGGCTGGGTGCTGTCCCGTAGCCGGGACCCCCTGCTCCGGGCAAGCACAAAGAAAGGGGGAGAGGAGATTCGGTTATCCTGACCGCCTCCGGGCCGCGGCGCCCTCCGAGGGAGGTGCCGCGCGCCTGACCCCGAGCGTGAGCTCACCTTCTCCCGCCTCGGAGGCGACGCAGCGGAAGACGCAGTGCTGCTCCTCGATGAACTGACCGCTCAGCCGGATGTCGGCGTTCTGACCGCCGACTCTAGGTGGGAGAGAAGCGGGAGGCGGTCAAAGGCCCGCCCGGGAAAAGGGAAGGCGGGCTCTCCGCCCGGCCCGGAGGGCGCAAACCCCCTCACCTGGTGACGCCGTCTTTCAGGTGGTAGAGGAGGCACTCCGACATCAGGGGGTCTTCGTTTAGGTTCACCAAGTGGGGCGTCTGCGGAGGGCAGGCGTGGGCGTCAACGGGGGGGAAGGCTTCCCGCGTGCCCAAGTTTCAGGGTGGGAGGTTGTCTTTGCGGGTGCACAACGCAACGCCTCTGGGGCAGGTAGGGAGGACTCCCGGGGAGTCACATCAAAGCAGACGCGCCCTTCGCACCCGGCGCTTTTACCTTCTTGGGCGAAAAGACCCCAACGGTGCCCCCGTCCTCTCGGAGAGCCACGCCCATCTCCGCCAGGAGAGCCTCTCTGCAACGAAGACCAGAGACCGCCGCCGCTCAGAACGCCCGCAACAAGACCGTCCGCCTGGCGCGCCACGGTACTCACGGCTCGCGGTCCGGTTGCACGAGCACCGAAACCCATCGCCGGGGACGCGACAACCCCCACCCCTCAGGTGTCGCGTCCCAGGAGCGCCACAACTCGTCGGAGCCCGGCGACCGGCAGCTTCTCCCACAAGCGGGGGGGACACACGACCAGCCGACTCTCCGAGGCATCGCCAACGACACCCAGCCGGACGATGGCGGCTCCGGTCCCTCCCGAGGGCTCCCCTTTCGGCCGTTATCCTCACCCCCCCTCCCCAGAAAGAAGCCGCAAACAAACACGGAGCCCGCTTGAGGAGACCCTCCGGGGGCACCAGGGATGGTGGCGGGAGGGGGACCCCTGGCCTCACCTCTCCATCCGCATGGCCTCCGTTTTCCGCAGTTTTTCCTCCCAAGTTTCATTCAGCTCCGCAATGATCCTCTCTGTCTCCTACGAGAGGAAGGGAGGGAGGAATCTGTTATGTATCTGTAAATAACGTCGTTTGGGTCGACTATAGATAAACTACAAATATATACGTAGCTTTACGGAAAAATATTATGCAGTGTTCTGGTTGGTTAATGATGCTACAAGTGGCCACAAGAGGGAACTATTGATCGTGGTTTAATTCTCTTTTTCTCTTTTTCACTGATGATCTCTCTTGATACCGATACTGACTGACTACAGACCGATACTGACTCACTAACTCTATTTATTTGGACATTCTGTTGATATCGAAGTTGATCTGTTGTATTATGGTTCTTTTTCTCACTGATGATCTCTCTTGATACTGATACTGACTGACGACTGACCGATTCTGACTAACTCTGTTTATTTGGACATTCTGTTGATATCAAAGTTTATCTGTTGTATTATGGTTTGATATTTGTCTGCTGTAAAAGACTTCAAACCAGTTAAGAAGACAAGTTGCCACAAGGGGGAACTATAGATCATGGTTTAATTCTCTTTTCTTTTTCTCACTGAT